CTGGTTATGAAACAAATTTCAAATCAGTGCGGCAGACTGCTTCTGGGTACCCACAAGGTAGCTAAAGGATGTTGGGCCTAAATATTAAGCTCAACATTATATAATCTATTTATATAATAATCTTAATAAAGGATTACTGGCAAGGTTACCAAAGATTAAAAAAAAAAAAAAGTAATACAAATCTAATATTATTTTAGAATTTAATGATTTGATTTTTGTGATTTTAGGCTTGTTAGAATTCTTTCATTAAGGAGATCATTTTGGTAGTTAAATCATTTAATAGGCAAATTACAAGTCATCTAAACAAAATATTTTTTTTATATATAAATTTTATTATAAGTGTGAATATGGAGTGTGCTTATCTAAACCTTTTTTGCTTATTAAGTAAATCACTCTTGGGCTTGTAACAAAAGTTGTAGAGCTCATCAAGAGGCATCTAATGGTAGTAAGAATGTTAAAATTGGCTTGGTAATTCTTGAAAAATCTTTAAAAAACTTTTTTCTCACATATAAAATTTCTTTAAAAAAAATCAATTTTTTTTAAAGAAATTTTATATGTAAGAAAGAAGTTTTTTAAAGATTTTTCAAGAACCACCAAGCCAATTTTAACATTCTTACTACCATTAGATACCTCTTGATGAGCTCTACAACTTTTGTTATAAGCCTAAGAGTAATTTACTTAGTAAGAAAAAACGTTTTAGATAGACGCGCTCCATATTTACACTTATAGTAAAATTTATATATAAAAAAATATTTTGTTTAGATGACTCACGATTTGTTTATTAAATTGGTTCAGTAGATCAAAAGTTATTAATAATTAAAATTTTATAATTAATTAATAATTAATTTATAATTCGGTCTAAAATTTTTTTTTAATTTTAACTGAAACTTAATAATTTCGGCCAGAATTACACCTGATACACTAGCTGATCTACCTACCTACAACTACCCTAATATCACCACCAAAAAAGTATAGATACATAATCTTTTTGTAGCACAAACCAATCATATTTCAAGATCAGATGTAATGTAACATAATTAGGAAAATTCAAAACAAATGTTTGTTTTGTCAAAAATCGCTTATAACTCAAAAATCTGCATAGGAAACCACTTTTTGTATATTAACAAAAAAATTTCCTTGAATGATTTTACTATTAAAATACTAAAATTGTAAACTTAACATAGACCCTAACCCAACTTTAAATGAACTTAACGATTTTTTAGTGTGATCACGTATCTGTACTTTTTTGGTGGTGATACTGGGAAAGATTCTACCTATCTCTAAATCAGCTGATTTCTGAAAGCCTCCTAACTTATAAAAATTAAAGCTTTTGTATTATAATCATGTGATCAATTTACAATTTAATGCAAAGATAGTCATTTATAAAGTATATAATTTATATGAATTTTGCCAAAAGAACAACAAGTCAGATAATTACAATCACTGTGACAAATCAGGTTACTTATTTAACCAATTAATTTTTGTTCACATGCTGTATGAAAGTAAGCGGATTATGTGATTTCATATAATAAAAATCACAAATTATATACATATTATTTGTACAAACATAATGTCATATCATAATGTATTGACTATTATTACTACCACCTGATCTAAGCAAAACTATACTAATTCCTAACTCTAACTTTAACTACAAAACTAATACTAGTCAACTATTATTAATACCATCTAATCTAAGCAAAACTACACTAATTCTCTAACCCTAACTACAGAACTAACTCTAATCAAATCTAACAACTAAACTAAACAACAACTACTAATGAAGAAAGCATTTCACTACTCTAATAGCAATGACACCAATGACAAAAGTATTTTACTACTCCAATAGTGATGATGTACTAATAATTTAATACTAACGAAAAGAGTGTTTTAATATTTAATAGTAATGATGCCAACAACAAAATATTTCACCACTAAATAACAATGACACTAACAATGATAATATTTTTATAATGCACTAGAAAGCAATAAGCAATGATCTAAAAAAAAGAAATTATTAGTTAATAGAACAAAAACAAAAACCTAAAAAAAAGAAATATATACTCTTAAAGTATCACAAGAAAGAAAGCCTAATGCAAAGTTTAGGGTGTGCAATGGCCTATAGGTAGGGTTACTAATGATCATCACTAATTGTGGATTTTTTATCGGAATCGATGCACACATATCAATCTGGGTAATTATTTTTGAATCCAGACCAAAATGTTATTATGTCATATATAAAATTGGTCCAGGTTCAAAAATACTTACCCATCTTATTAAAACAAAAATTAGATTTATTAAAATAAATAATTAACTAAATAGCATATTATTTTTTTTTAAATTAAACCTCAAGACTAGCTCTACACTGAAATAGAGCTATTTTTTTTTAATATTTTTATAAAAATATTTAGAATGCTAATGATTAGTATTCTTGGTTTCGATTATTAATATTTTTTTACTTTTTAAAAAAAAAAAATTAAAAAAATAGCTCTATTTCAGTGTAAAGCTAGTTTAAAGCTTCAATTTAAAAAAAAATAGCATATTGTTTGAGTAATTATTTATTTCAATAAATGTAATTTTGGTAAAATTTATAGCGATAATCATATTAATATGGGTCCAATTTATAATATCAATTATATTATATAATAAATTATCAGTTTATATTCGAATCCCAATACCTAGAATCCCAGCGTTCAAAATCTGAAAGCAATTATTAATACTATCGCTATTGGGATTTTATTTTCAGGATTTTGGGCATCAGGATTTCAAGTACCAAGATTCTGAGGTAAAACCAACATTACTATCAGAAAATCTGCAATTAGTGATGATCATTAGTAACCCTGACTATATAATTTTAATAGGCCGTTGCATATCCTAAAAGTTGCTTCTGTTCAACATCTAGAAAAAAAAACATTAGCTACTGTAAACACATTCACAAGTCAAAGCAACAAACAAAAAAAAGAAACTAAACTTCTCTGAATGCCAAAAAGCCAAAACAAAAAACTAGAAGTTGTTCTTGAAATATTTGGAAAGAAAGAAATATTAGTAAAGTGTTTAAAATCAGAAACAACTAAGTTCATATCTTTTTGAAATTTCTAAACTAGAATATTTAAAGAAACCATACTTCCCTAAAGATTAAAATGAAAAACTAAAAAACATCCTTAAAAATATTTAGAAAAAAAGATATTCAAAATTCAAAGTGACAAAGCTTACACTTTTAAGTTAAATATGACAAAATCTACACTCAAACTATGATACCAACAATGGCAGCTTATTAGTAATTACTTCTGCTTTAATAATAATGACTTATCAGTAATTACTTCAGCTACAACAACAATGACTCACTAGGAATTATGATAAAAACTCCAATAAAGAGTAGCTTAGTCAAATTATACATATATATAAAAAAAGAAAAAATCAAAAAAATCAATCATCATTAATGATGATCATTGTTTATATACATATATATTCTGTGACCAAGGGTGTAAATAATTTTTAACAAAATCATCCAGGATGATTTTAATAAAATTTCTAAATTTTATAAGTATATATAATCGGCTAATCAAAATTGGTCACATAAATCTTGTGATTGATAATTGATATTGGTTAGTTCTAATAGATGATTTATCTTTCGAAAAAATTTTGGATGTATTTTTTAGTTATATCTGTCTATTAGCTGTCATAATACCTTGTCTGCTATTATATTATCTTTCTTAGAATATAGACTGCTATAATTTTTATTAATCTCTCTAAAGCAAATATTTAGATTAATTCAATTATAGTCTAACCTCTCTAAATATAATATGTACAAACTAGTTGAAACTTTGCATTTAGGAAGTCTTGCATTTAGGGAAAGCCAATCAAATTGCAATTTTTAATATTTAATCTGCAGGTTTGTATAACATAATTTAATACTAAATTCTGATTAGCTATGTATATTTAGAGAGGTTAGTATAATATAAAAAATCTTTTGAGTGAACTTGCATTTACAGAATATAAAATATGTATTTAGCACTAATAATTTTATATAGCAAGACAAAAATGTTTATTTAGAAAGGTATTGCATTTATGGAGGTTGCATTTAGGGAGGTTTAACTATATTTTGCTTACTATATAAGATAACACCTTTACTTTGATTATTTAAATATGTTACTGTGATGATATTATCTAATATGATTTTTATATTTTATTTCTTATCTATAGAAATGTTTTAAAGCATTTAATACTAGTGTTCCGAAGTTTAGTTTAGTTCAGGTTCAGGTTCAATGAACCTGAACCTGAACCTGAAGCACAAATTTTGCAGATCATTGAACCTGAACCTGAACTGAACTTTGAATTTATGAACCTGAACTGAACCTGAACTTAAAGTTTTGGTTCAGTCAGGTTCAGTTCAAGGTTCATGAACATGTTCAGGTTTAGTGACAAAACATAGTAAATAGTAAAAATATGTTTACTAAATATTTTTTTTGTCTTTAGAATTTTCAAATTTGGAGTTTTTCAACCAAGCCTTTTTTTTTCTAAGTAAACCTTTTTCAACTTCTAATAAAAGTTGTAGAGAAGTGTCTTGCAATCAAAATGACAGTTAAAATGTTAAAATCAGCCCAGTAGATCGCAAGATATAAGTATTTTTGTCTTCGTGATTATATGTTTTCTTCTTTATATAAATAAAGAAGAAAGCATAGTTGTGAAGACAAAATTACTTATATCTTGCGATCTACTAGGCCGATTTTAACATTTTAACTGCCATTTTGATCGCAAGAAACTATTCTACAAGTTTACTTAGAAGCTGAAAAAAGATTTACTAAGCAAATATTTAAGGATCACAATATTTTTTATAATTTTATTATTAAATAATGAACAATAACCTAACTCTAATCATAACCTATACATTTCAGTTTAATACTAATCTAACTCTAGACTTAATATATTCTATCTTTAAATTCTGTTCTAAACTTTAACATACTTTAAACCCTAATTTAGCTAACAAAAAACCCAACAAAATGCAAGACCCAACGAAACATAAGATTACAAAATACAAGATCCAACAAAATACAGCACCCAACAAAGTAAGATCCAATAGTACAAGATATGATAAAGCAAGATCCAATGAACAAGGTAAGACCCAATGAAGCAAGTTAGACTGACAAAGATCTGACGAAGCAAGATCTGATGAAGAAAAACCAAAGTAAAAACTAACGAAGACCAATAAAGTAAGACCTGACAAAACAAGCCCAAAAAACCAAACCTGACAAAGCAAGACCTAACAAAATCAAACCCGACGAAGCAAGACCCAACAAAATCAAACCCTACAAAGCAAGACCTAACGAAACCTGATAAAGCAAGATCCAATAAAATAAAGCCCGAAGAAGATCCAGTAAAGCAAGACACGCACAAGAAGTGTTAGCTTCATTTAAAGAAAAAAATAACAGTATACTAAAAGCACCTATCACATTCCCAATTCCAGATTCTGAATCCAACGAAGAAAAGAAAAAGGAAGTATTATTAGTATATTAAACGATTATCAAAAAAGATATTATGTTATTAATTTTGTCCAATCAATGCATTCAGGTTTATGAACTTGTTCAGGTTCATGAACATGTTCAGTTCATGAACATGTTCAAAGTTTATGAACATGTTCAAGGAGTATTCACGACCCCCAAACTTAACAGTCGGTTGATCGAGATGTTATGCAGATCAGGTGATTTAATAATAGTATCTACGTACTGGCAATTCGGCAGTAATAATAATGTTTTTTTAAACGAAAAACCTGCTAGCCTATATATAGTAAGAAAACAAGAAAATTACAAATTAATTATTTTTATATATAGCATTCATTCCCACAAAGTCAAGTCAACTCAAAAGCCTCATAATGTGGTGCTATGTACTACACAATCATATTATGAAAGAAAACATGATTAGCAATTAGCCTACTAGTGTAAATTAGTTTGGAGTAAATCAAGTAATATAATAAAAAAAAAAGATATTTATCAATTTCTTTATTTAGTTAATAATATTAATTCAAGTTGACGTAAGTTAATGGATCGAAAAGATGGCCAAGCAGGGATAGGCCGGGGCAATCTGTATATAGCAGTTAAACCTAAATCGTACACGCAGCCAGATAAGTATAAGTATTTAATAAGCTGCCTAATTAAGAACCGTAATGAAGAACCGTAATGAAGTCACTAATGATAGTTCAGGGTCAGGTTGGATATAAGAAGATACTGCCGTAAGGGAAGTAGCAATTATTTTCACCAGACACAAGATTTGCACCCAAGCTCATCAAAAGTTGGCTTGCTATGTGCAGGTGGAAAACTACTGACTGATGCTACACATCACAAATTCAACCGATGACGGTGATACCTGGCTACAAATATGCTATTTTCTGGGAGCTTATCCCATCTCGGTTTATACATCAATTGCACTAATGTATGCTGCTTATTCTTAATAAAGATCATGCGATAAAGTTTAATATTTAGCGCTAATAGCCAGATGCATCCAAATAATAACTATTATATACGCGCAATGCTTTTTGTTGTAAGTACATACGTTGCAGTAGATAATCATACGACGACAATGAATTGGCATCGAAAAGCAAATATCAAGGCCTGGACCTGTCGTTAATGGTCCTTCTCCTTATTTTTATTCTTTAAAATCATAGCATCTTACATCATACGACATAATATAAAAATCAAAAAAAACCTCCAAATTTTTGCGTTGTTTCTTGTTAGTGTCACGTGAGCAATCCTAAGTTCATAACTGTGTTCCTTGAAGAATTACAGGTTTTCACTTTGCGACACTCATATATAGCATTACATAAAGTTAGCATAATATTCTTTGTTAAATTTAAAGAACATATTCTTGCAAAATATTCTATCTACTAACGATAAATTTTTCATCAGTACCAGACCATGATAGTTATGATGATAACGATAATAATCAAGACAACGATCACAATAGTGAGGATAATATTAGCACCTCTAGCAAGTGTGGAAGTAAAAGTAAAAGAAGTGAAATGTGGCTTTACTTTACGAAAGTTATATGGACAAAAAAAAAAAAACAGCACAGTGCAAGAGCTGCAACTATGAACCATTTTCTTGTGGAGTTAATGGCACAACCAAACCACTATGGTGACATTTAGAGAGTTCTCACTGGACAAAATATGTCTTGACAGAAGAATATAAAAAAAAAAAAAAAACCAACTCAATCCAAACTCTTGAAAAATTTACTGGTAAAAAAGTAAGTTTTTTTTTTTTTATAATAAAAAAAAAACCCCAATCTATTAAAAAATTTTATTTTAGATTTCTACAGACACATCGGCTAGCACATCCACTGAAGTTGATAATATAAAACTTCATAATATGTTCGCTCGTTAGATCATTAGTCGTCAACAGCTGTTTTTCCTAATAGAAGATCCTGAATTAATCGAGATTGTGTAGTATCTGAATCCCACAGCACAACTAGTTAAAGCGGATACGCTTAAAAATATGATTATGGTACTTTATAACTCTGGAAAACAAGAATTAAAGGTAATACTATAAAAATACTATAAAAATTATGTAAATTATATAGTCAACCTAATGCATTTAGTGAGATTATACATTTAGTGAGGGTTACAATACAATTCTCCGAAAGTTATTTATCTAACAGGTCACTTATCTGACATCATACAGTGTGATAATCTGCTAAAAATGTATAGCCACAACTAATCAAATATCAGCCCTAACCCTATATGATGTCGAGTAGATGTCCTGTCAGGGAAATAATTTTTAGGGAATTAAGCAACAACTCCAAATCACACCCATCTCTATAAGTACCTGTTGTGCACTTACAGAGGGTCAACTGTATTATTATTTTTAATAATCACTAGTCGAAATAAAACCTATCGGGCAAATATCATAACTTTTTTAGTCCTGATATGAAACTGATTAATAGCTCGAATCGTGTCATTTCTAGGTTTATATCAGAGCTAATAGATAAATATCAGAAAACCTGATAGCTTTTATAATTTTACTAATAGCTCTATCAGTTCTGATATGAACCTAGAAATAACATGATTCGAGCCATTAATCAGTACTATATCAGGACTAAAAAAGCTATGATACTTGCCCAATATGCTTTATTTCGACTAGTAGATATCAAGTAAAATTTTGAATTTCTGTATGATCATAGTAAATTTGAAAAATGAAGTAAATATAGTACTGTTGGATC